GGAGAAGCCAAATCTGCAGCTACTCAAGAATTTCCCAGCATTTTATGGAGCCCGAAGGTTCATTACCGTGTTCACAAGAGCCTTCCACTGGTCTCTATCCTGAGCCAGATCAATCCAATCCAAACCATCCCATCCTATCGCTCTAAGATCCATTTTAATATTGTCCACCCACCTACGCCTTGGTTTTCCCAGTGGTCTCTTTCCTTCTGGCTTTCCCACCAATATCCTATACGCATTCCTTGTTTTCCCCATTCGTGCTACATGCTCTGCCCACCTCATCATCCCTGACTTGATCATTTTAATTATACTTGGAGAAGAGTACAAGTTATGAAACTCCTCATTTGCATTGTCCAGATGCATAGATCCACAGTTTCTTGACCTCGACTCTAGTTGGAGGTGAGTGCTCAGTTTCACGCCCCCGGCCGTTTTACCCCTGGTATCCATTTGATAGAAGGCTGGGAGGGATTCTGAACTAGTCTTGACGAAGTGATGAACAGAACATTATTGACTGTACCAGGACTCGAACTCTGACCCCTCTGTCGTCCAACCAGTAGCTGTTTTATGTCGTCACAAACATTTTAGGCGGGGGAGAGGAGTAGGTGGAGGCGGAGCGCCGAATCCCACAATTCCCCCTTCTCCTGAATCAACATATAGAGAGACACATTTGAAGGTTGGCTGCCCTGAGACCGCACTGTCACACTGGAAACTTATCTGACAGCGAGGAAGCGAAAGCCATTTATTTTAATTGCATCAAGCTTGCACTGTGAGAGTATTAATAAATACATAACAATATTGTGCTGGTCCTTTATGCTAGGGGACTATTCATCCCAGCAGCGGCCGGAAGGTCAAATGTTGCGGCTACAGGGTGCTTCCAACACAATGATCACCGCATTTGCAGACACAGCGCCCTTTGCGGCCAAATCTCGCTAAATTAAGTGACACAGACTAGACACAGCATCGAGTGGAGGGGAGAGCCGGTTAGCGCAGTGGTAACCCTCGAGGCTCGCTTGCGGGAGGTATAAAGTCTTTGCAGTTAATTAATTAAACACTAATACATGAAGACGTATGGGGGAGTGGATGTATAGATCCATGTACTCTTAACCTCGGCACTAGCTAGAGGTGAGTGGTCAGCTTCACGCCCCGGACGATTGACACCCAGGGGTAGCGCCGTCGGTACTGGTTCGATAGGAGACTGCATGCAGACATGGGGGGAGTGGAGGTATAACTCCATCATTCTTAACCTCGACACTAGATGAAGGTGAGTGGTAAGCTTAACGCCCCGGCCGCGTTAACCCTGAGGAAACTACCACAGGGGCGGCCTGGAGGATGTGGAGAAGCCGAAGATTTCTTGCCTCTGCTGGGAATCGAACACCGCCAGTTGAGCCTATAGCTTGCCGCTATACCTAAAGAGCTATACCGGTTATCCTGAGTGAGGGATTCCTCAGTACCTCCAGGCAAATGTCGGGATAGTATTTCGAATAGGCCACGACCACCTCTTTCCATGTCGTTCCAAATGAATCATTCATATGCTGTTAAATACGTATTATGACCATCGTAATATAAGTCACAAATTAGGCTACGAGTTGGATGATAGACGAATCGGAGTTCGATTTCCGATGGATAAGAGACATCTTTCTGTTCTGTGTTAGAGTTCTGACAGGTCCTCGGTTCCACCCAGTCACGTAGCTGGACCACTTACCTCTACATCTAGTTCTGAGGTTAAAAATGCTTGGAGTTATACATCCGCTCCACCATACGTCTTTATGGCGTGGTGCTTAACAAAGCATAGGGACTTTACTATGCGCGCGTAAAATCCTACCCCCCCTTCCAAAAAAAAGGCATTTTCAGGTGACGTCGCCGTACTTGTTCGAGTTTAAGCTTTCGCAACGGTTACTGGGTTAAAGCCCCGTAGTTTGGTAGAAATTCACTGACGTTTCAGGAGAATGTTTTAGCTCCAGAGTTGAAGCTTCGATTCCCCCTTCATATTTGCTGTTTTCTTGCTTGGCTTAATCTTCAACCCTGAAGAAGGAGGCGGTACATTATTCAGAAGTGAACGGCGTTAAACTTGATGCAGTGTCGTTAAATAAGGCGAACACGTCGTCATGATTTGTCGCACAGCTGTTGGTTTGCTGGCAGGCAGGCAGTCAGTCACAATAAGATGGAACACAATCACAATGCAGGCAGCAGATTATGTAGCAGTTAGTGACACCGTAAGGGCCGATCCATCACGGTCAGTCACGATTTGTTAAGCGTCCCCCCCCCCACACACACTCCGCTTCATAACAGCGCATGTCGTGGGGAACCGGGGGCTTCAGAGGACCCAACTAATAATAATAACATGTAAACGTTGCTCTCACAGTTTGTACACTTCACTTGCTATTGTTCCCTGAACCTAACTAACCAACTAACCAAACAAGATTGGAAAAGGATGTCCATGCTGTAGTACACATACTTATCAGCAGTGTTACTAACTAACTAACTAAGATTGGAAAATGTTTCCGTACTGTAAAAACAATCCGTGCCTTGAGTCCGCAAGCGAACTATACCGACCGAGCGACCGCCGCTTGTCGGCGAAGTTAGTGCCAACTTTAGCGGATAGAGAGTGTCGCGTGGTCAGCGCAACGAATCCCCACGGCCGTTAATTTCGGTTTTCTAGACCGGAGCCGCGATTTCCTTGAAATAGCCCCTTAGTTATCCTCACGAGCTTGAGTGGACCCCGTTCCAGACCCACTACTTCTCAGAAAAAATTTGGTAGCGCCGGTAATCGAACCCGGGGCCTCTGGATCTGTAGCCAGAAACTCTGATCACTAGATCATAGAGGCGGTCTTCCGTACCGTAGTACACATAATTATCAACAGCGTTATTTACTAACTCACTAACTAATTGACAGACCCAATAGAATTGTAAAGGGGCGTACACATAATTTTCGATAAATAGCTAACTAAATAGCTCAATGAACCTAACAATAAATGATACAAACTCCGTCCTAAGTGCAAACAATTGTTTGCACTTAGGACGGAGTTTGTATCATTTATCGTGTAGAGTGCAACAGGATGCTTAAATATAATATTGTGAACCTAACAATGTTGCACTTTTGTGTAACGTGTAGTTTGAATAATTCACGAAGTTTTCTTTTGACTAAAGAATCATATCGTTTTGAAGCTGATTTTACTTCCTTCATCAGAAAAATTATGAAACCTACTATGTTGTTTCGATTAAAGTAAGCTAATATCTCTCCGAGATGAGCCGGGATAGCTCAGTCGGTATATCGACTGGCTACGGGCTTGAGGACAGAGGGGTTGGAGTTCGGGTCCCAGTAAGGGCAAGAATTTTCTCTTGTCTATGTCGCCCACACCAGTTCTGGATTCCCACTCAGCCTCCTATCCAATGGGTACTGGTGGCTCATTCCTTGGGAGTAAAGCGGCCGGGGCTTGAAGCTAACCACTTACTTACAACTAGTGCCGAAATTAAGAAATCTCCCCCAAACACCGCTTAGTAAGTTGAGCACAGGGACAAATTTACCTTAACGTCTCTCTCCGTCCGGAGAAGGAAGAAACAAAGATTGTATATGAAACTTTTGTAGGGAATTCCTCTTGGAACAAGTTTTCTTACAAGTTAGAGGAGATTGAACGATGGTATTTAGATGTGCTTTAAGAGGATGGGTTAGGAGGTTCGGAGGTGGATAGAGCTGGCTGAGGTTTCTGTTCAGTGGTCATCTTTCAGTACTAGCTGCTACCGAACTATTATTTCATAGTTTTATTGTTGAAAATGTCAGTTGGCAGTATAAATGGGCAATAGTACCGGATAGTATTGGATATGCTACTAGCCCTGTTCCTTCGTATGTACATAAAGGTAAAGGCAGTGAAGGCCCATATGGTTGTGAGACGTCGAGGCTCCCACATTTTTTCCTGGACAACGGCTCACAGATGGCGGTGATGTTATCAGCCTTTACCCCCAGGAAGATTTCTGTTAGAGGCTGAGTCGATCCCAGGGCCATAGTGCGGCTGGAAGGATTAGGTAAATTGAAGAAAAAATCCGCTTCATCGGGAATACAACCAGCGGAAGGCACAAAATGACAAAGTCCCTGTGCTTGAATAATTAGACACTACTCCATGAAGGCGTATGGAAGAGTGGTTGTATAGATCCACATCTTCTTGACCTCGGCACTGGTTGGAGATGATTTGTGAGCTTCACGTCCCGGCCACTTCACCTCCAATGAAAGAACCTCGTTACCCATTGTATAGGAGGCTGTGTGGGCCCAGAACCGGTGTGCACGACGTTGAGAACAGAAAATTCCTGGCACTACCGGGACTTGAACTCCGACCCCTCGGCCGTTCAGGTCCTTGTTAGTCGCTATGCCGTCTGCGCTGTCCCTGCTCCTTATATGACTTCCTGTCACACTTTTATTCAACAATGACTGTACAGCCCTTTGTCGCTCCATGGCCGCATTTTTAGATTCATGAGTTGGTAGGATTCCTCGGACAGGGGATCAGCCCGTCTACACAGACATCCATGCCTCGAGTGGGATTCAAACCTACGACCTCAGCGTTGGAGCGGACGAAGGCAGTTCATGCCTCAGACCGCGCGGCCTCCATGATCGGCTGACCTCATATACTCCCACAAATCTATAATTTATATTTTGATATCTCTTTCGCAACTGTCAGAAGCCAACCTGCCCTATACAGACGTGTTACATTCCACGTATCCAAACTGAAATAACGGACACACACGCTATCTTGATGTATCCATAGTAACACACAATAAAAGTAACCAACATGGTTGCTATGCGTGTGCAGAAACAGGTTTATACTTCCTGTAACTTCTCACTTGTTTGTGAGCTTATTGGTACAGTGTGATTGTGGCAACGCCCTATTGTGAGGCAGTGTTTCACGCTGATTGGTTAGGCAACCGAGGCTTGGGCGTGGTTTAATGGGGCGGAGTTTTCTAATCTGCGCGAGAGAAAACCCCACCAGAAGCTGAGAGGCAGACCGGAGATTTGCACGTGTCAGTCCTCCGCTACTGGGGCTAGGGAAGCGAGTTCGTCTGCGCATCTGTTGTGTCACTCCGGCAGCCAGAGCCAGCAGATCACTGTGACGGGTGTGTGTGAACGGAACCGTTTTCGTTTGTGTGCCTAGAACTGTTCCTTATTCGTACAAACATCTCTGAAGAAGGAAACGATAGACAATGGAAAACTGTGAATTAAATTTTACATACTGTTCCGTGTGACGTGAAACAGGTTTAAACTTCGTACGTTAGGAACAAATATTCTCAGTTGATTTAGTTGCATCTGTAATCTCTGACGTACATTCATGTATCTGTGGTGAGGAACTGAACTTTGTAGACACTTCTACATCAGTCTACATCTTGAAATAATTTGAACTGTGTGTAGTCGGAGTATAGTGAGTGAATTTCATTACAGTGAGTCAAGCCTGAACTGTGTGGGGGGGTGCCTTATTGTTTCCCCTGTCGTTCCTATGTCACCATGGTCAAGATAGAGGGGCCGCTACATCCTCTAGTAATGGCCCGAACGCCTCTCAAATCGTCCTTCAGCATCAGCGCCATTTTACCGGAAACCGTGGCAGCCTCGCGGGCCCCAAGCCCCGACATGAGCCCCAATTTGGCGCATTGTAACCCCGACATGAGTCCCACTTTGGCGCATTGCAGACCCGACATGAGCCCCACTTTGGCGCATTGCAGACCTGACATGAGCCCCACTTTGGCGCATTGCAGATCCGACATGAGCCCCACTTTGGCTCATTCCAGCCCCGATATGAGTAGCTCGGACTCAGATAGTGACCTCGACGTGACGGGAGGTGCCACCCCGCCGCCGCTAGACTGCAGCACCAACAAAGACAAACAAGATGTCGCCGCAGACAGCGCCAAGGCCGAGGCCGATAAGAAGAAAACCGAGAAGCCCCCATATAGTTACAATGCGCTCATCATGATGGCGATCCGTCAGAGTCCTGAAAAGCGTCTCACCTTGAACGGCATCTACGAATATATCATGAAGAACTTCCCGTATTACCGCGAGAACAAGCAGGGCTGGCAGAACTCGATCCGCCACAACCTCTCGTTGAACAAGTGCTTCGTGAAAGTGCCCCGTCATTATGACGACCCGGGCAAGGGCAACTACTGGATGCTAGACCCGAGTAGCGCGGATGTCTTCATTGGCGGCACGACGGGCAAACTGCGGAGGCGTTCTACGGCGGCTAGCAGGAGTCGCCTGGCTGCCTTCAAGCGCACCATGGTTCTGGGGACTACAGGCTTCTACCCGGGGGGTCTGGGCCCTGCAGGAGGGGCCTACCCCGGCCCCTGGGGCCTCTCGCCGCTCTACTGCAACCCATACCATCGCTACACCTACCCGTACCCTGGCCTTCTGCAGCCGTTGCCTAAACCCATCGCCACCCACGGGTTCTCTGTCGAGCGTCTCCTGGGACCGGAATCAGCCCCCACGGCGCAGTACGGCCCGCTACGGCTACAGCACCCAGGTCTGTATACATCCCCGGCGCCGTACCACGACTTCTACACGACGCTACGGTCCCTGGCAGGAACCTCGACGCCGCTGGTGCAGACCGCGGCACCTACTGCCACGACGGCGTCGTCCAGTTGTAGCAGCAGCCCAGAACCACAGCCCAGTAGAGCCCAGCAACCCGTCTTCAAGCCCATCACCGTTCTGGCGTCACGGCCCAGCTAATTGTGCGACGCTCGCGGTAAATTTAGTCAAAATTCGTTGCAGCTATTGTGGAGAGGCGGTTTGGAAATAATGTTCCTGCAGTGAGGCCTTAGGTGTAGGAGAGAGAACCGTCAGTCTGTCTGACGTAGGCCTAAATATTTGCAACGGGTTCATTTGCGATCATAGATCATCTCTGTTGAAATCTGAATGTAGTCTGCAGGATAGAGCTGTTTCTATTGCAGTTAGATGTAAACCACATGATAACATTCTAAATGTTTCTGATGGAGTCATGTTAACTGCAAACATAACTACTGATTTAGAAATTGTTCATGCTCGTTGAGTCTTTCGAAAACACCGCATTCTGGAAAACGGATCTGTTTCAATCATCAGGTATAAGGGATGGAATGTACCTACTCACAGGCCCATTAGAAATAACCAGTGTCAATAGTTTGACCAGGGATTAGGAAAAATTAGTATCAGTAATTTGAGCAGGGATTAGAAATAGCTGATCACCCGCCCAAGGAGTTTTACCGAATGTGTAAGATCTAGAAAAACCGAAGTGAACTGAGAAGTTCATGGAGGTAGGCCTAGGCCCACTGGGGCTGTAGTGCCAAGGAAAAAAAAATTTGAGCAGGGAATAGAAAGAGCTAGTGTCAGTAATTTGGCCAATGATTTTAGATACAACTAGTGTCAGTATCTGGAGCAGGGATTAGAACAACCAGTGTCTGATTAGAAACGACTAATGTCAGTAGCTGAGGTATGGATTAGAAAGAGCCAGTACCAGTAATTTGGCCAATGATTAGAAACGATTGGTGCCAGTAATTTGAGCAGGGATTAGAAAGAGCCAGTACCAGTAATTTGGCCAATGATTAGAAACGATTGGTGCCAGTAATTTGAGCAGGGATTAGAAAGAGCCAGTACCAGTAATTTGGCCAATGATTAGAAACGATTGGTGTCGGCAATTTGAGCAGGGACAAAAATAACTGGACCAACGATTAGGAAGTTAATGTCATTTATCGGGCCAGCTCACTGTAACGGGCCCAGCCAAGTAGAATCAACCGTCCGTTATATCCGACGACGAAATTAGATCCATTTTTCGAAAAGTTGTGTTAAAAAACTGAAAACAACGGAAAATGTCCGAAATAAACTCATGTTTAGCGATATCTCTCGCTTGGAAGACTGGGGAGAATTTCTGAAGGGGCGGGGGGGGAGCGGAGGGTAGTTGAGGACAAGCTACCTGTGGTCTTTTAGGCAAACTGTTTTCACTCTCTCTGCTTTGCCGTTGGGTCACTGATCCTAAGAATTCGGAACCGTAAAAACCGAACTTAAATTTCCTCTCGAGCAACGACCTTTACAGCCCTATCTCTTTCTGTGTTTATTTCATGACGCTGTATTAACTACACAAATTATAGGCCGTAGACGTAAATAGGACATTGGTTATGACGTCAGTAGATAGGAAGATTTTTGTCTTTTGGGATGTGACGTAGTGTAGTCTGGTATGGTCTCCTACCCCGAAGCTGTAGGCCGCAGGTTCCTCCAAATATTGGGAGCGTTATACCAGACTATACGGTGTAACATGCCAGACGATAGCAATCTTCATATTCTGCAGGCACTGAGGAAAGCAACGGAAAATTCGGTCATAATCCGAAGCTCCTTGAGAAGTGACACACGACTTCTGAATACTAAACACGGATTAGTGACGTCACCAAGACGTCAAATTTTGTGATATGGAAATTGTCTGCCTTTAGAAAGCCTGATAGCTACCACAGGATGGTTGAGAATATTTGAATTGCCTTCTACATTCAGGTAGAAAACATTTCTTACGCGTTTATTCTGTTGTAGTTATTTGAGATTCTCGCAGAAATGACTAGGATGTTACGCCGTGTAGTCTTGTGGACTATTATCAAAGTTGCGAAGGGATTTTCGGACGTGAAGATGGAGCCAAGAACTTCCTCCGAATCGTTGCCATATCCCAGAAAACATGAGCTCGGTGAAGTTGTTATTCCCATTTTCTTACACAGAATCGAGCAGGTTAACTCATCTGGTAAAGGGAGTGAATTGCCGTGATGCATCGTACCTGGTTTGAACCTCGGGAGGGGCACCTGTTACCCTCATTTCCTTGCTGTGGGTGGCGTATTTTCTATCTTAGAATTACCTAATTATTTTTCTGACGCAAGAAGGATGTCTAAGCTGTGTGAAAAGAATTTTCTTGGATTTGAGGTGCCAGTAGCACTCGGATTTGATATTCCGGCAAAAGTTCATCAACATCTCTGTGAAACGTACTGCCTCCATCCTCAGGGTTAAATTGTTGACCAAACAGCAAATGGAGCTATGCTTGGATTAGTATTAGACTATGAGGATGGACACAATACTTCCTTCCGAAATTTACTGAATTTCTAAATGGATAAACGGAGTCACATCCCAGGAAAGTCTTAATAGATATATAGTTTAAAGGTTTCCTGGAATTCTCATGGTTCCTAATTCGTTAGAGTCACATAAGGGTCGGGATAGCGACTGGGTATGGGCTTGACAGCCAAGGGTTCGGAGTTCGAGTCCCCATAGGGTCAAGAATTTTCACTTCTCCATGTCATTCAGACCAGCTCTGGGGCCCACCCACTCTCTTATCCAATGGATACCGAGGATAAAGCGGCTGGGACGTGAAGCTGACCACCCACCTCAAATTAATGCCGAGGAAACATGCTTAATTAGTTAAACACAGGGACAATTTTACCTTGCCGCATAAGAGCTACGTTTGTGAGGATCAGTCTTATGCAAATTGTATCGTTGGTCTGTTTTTAATTTTGAAAATTTGTAAGAAAAAATATGCTTGAAGGATTCTGCCATCTTCTGGGATGTTTCGCCGTTTTTTTTTCTTTCCCCCAGTTGAAATCCAGAATCTAGAATCGTCGAATTGGCAAAACCAAATCGCATTATTCATTATCCTTCGCACCGAGGGAAAGGGAACCCCGTCTTTCAGCGTAACACACATCAGACACCAGAAGATACATAGTTCGTCTGAAATATCTCTGCCGCTACGTCATATGTTGAGTAGGCAACCTTACGGAAGAAAAGTCCCTGCTCGTTTAACGAGGATTGTAATAAGACAATTTTGCTTCTCATTCTGCCTTGAGAATGGAATCTAGTGACTTTATAATGATGACTTTAATTGCCTGCATCACTCTATGATGATGACGCAACCTCAGAGATATTTTGGACACATTTTAAGACGCTTCATAACCACCGTCATGAGAACCTCAAACCCAAGAGCGATGTTGGATTTGAGGTTCTCACAGCATTGGCTGCGAAGACTGCGATCTTCTGGTATATCAAGTGTATTTCGGTTGGAGTCCAAACTATACGGCGTTACATCTCCGAATACAATATCCTTCAATGATACTTTTCTGTGTAGTAAGTGTCAATGTTTTAGGAGCCTGAGCTTTCTTCATTGTCTTCAGTTGCTTCTGGTGAAAGTCACGATATTTTGAAACAGTCCGCACCAAATTATTATTTCCAAAAATTGTTATATCACGTTTATACCCTACTCGTACTTCGCCTACGATAGGTTTAATAACTTCTGCAGTTGATACCGCTTCATTATTAACAAAGGAACAGAACATATTTGACCCAGTAACGCGTAGATTCTGTACAAAGAAGATACTGAGAAGACTAAATTATTACTTTTTACGTTGACACATCCAGAGCAGGCGCTACCACGGGTACTCATTTTCAGTATTCCCATGGAAAACGTCATTTATTTTTATTATAAAACTGTTAAGAAGCAAATTATACGTATTCCACATTGTTTTCATGGGGACCAGATATTTTATTAGCCATTTAAAGTCGAGTGGTTACTATATGTACCACCTGCTTTAACATACTAAAACCCTGCATTCTGCCCACACAGTGTATTTGTGTGTTCTGTATCTGACAATAAACAACAATTGTTTCCCTAAACAGCATTAACCGGTTGGTCGTTGTTATGGAGATGGAGTGTGTTTCCTGTGAGGTACGGACTTCAAGATACTAAAACTCTGCATTCTGCTCACACAGTGTATTTATGTGTTCTGTATGGTTCTCACAATAAACAGCGGTTATTTCCCTAAACAACATTAACCGGTTGGGCGTTGTTATGGAGACGGATTGTGTTTCCTGTGAGGTACGGACTGGAATTTTAAATACTATTTAAAAGGAATTTAACCCCATTCTGTCATCAGAATGAATGTAACTATGACCGCAAATGTTCAGTTGTAAAAAAAAAAAAAAGATCTCTGGTCGTGAACCTCAAGGGGCTTGGCGGCAAGAAGAACTGATTGCCGGTAAACCGCCAGACATACTCTGACTCGTGCTTCAAGGGACACCAAGCATAAGCTAGAGGATTCCTGGAACTTAGAATGTGACGCCGTGTAGTTTGGTATTTAGGTAGTAATGTTTAGGAGACAACTGCTGCCTTCATTCTTCTACCCTGAAGACAGAGGCACCATATCTATCTGCAACTTTGGTGTTTACCAAACTGCGCGGCGTCATATCCCAGTAGACAGCAACCTTAATATTTAACGGCATAAAAACATGAAATCCTGCATACATTTTTAAGAACGCTAGCATTTCACATTCATATGCTTTGTTGAGATGAGGCTTGGTATTACTTAGGGATATTATTTCCAGTCTCTCCACGTCAGTCGCTTCGCATTCATCTGAACCTGCAGTTACGTCGAGTTAATACAAGCCGCCGTGACTGTTTGATATTTTGTTAAAATTGATCTCTGTTAGGTCCGTCCTCAGCGGAAGTGTGACTTAAAAACCAAATAGAGACATCAGTCACTCCTGATTTCTGTAGTCGTTGCTCTGTTTCCAATAATAATAGTCCTAAACAGTGAATAGGATTTGCTGCTCTTTTGGACGAAGAATGAAGCTAGGATCGTCAGTCGCACTGTGTCGTGTATATGCCCTAGAGCACAAAAGCGCGGACTGTTTTTGTTCTGTGTCCGAATTTACCTATCGGACATCTTCAGTCACATTAAACCTGCGGTCAGCTGTGTGTATCTCCGTGTGTATTTGTGGACGCAGTAATAAGGTAGGCCATGACACGCGCTAAATACTCAACAAGTAACTTACATACACTTACTAAAATGTATTTATTGTATATTGTATTCTGTGTATATTTGTTGTACATTTTTTTTTTTAAATATTTCACTGTAAAATATATACATATATAAATACATTAAATCGCTGTGTTAATATGAATTTAAATAGTTGTGTTTTCTTTAAACCGTAAAAACAGTGATGGGATAGTCTATATAGCACGCATGGTTGAAGTAAGGAATGGGTGTAAGATGTATAGGCTAGGATTGGCCCTGGGCTATATATCATTTTGGTTTCCTCCCCACGTGATTTATTTTAAATAAAATTCTTTACAGTTTGGTATCAGAACAAATTGTACTTATTTTAACAAAAGCAAAAAGGGCTGGTAAGAATTAAAAGCACACGTAAAATTTATGTTT